TCCCCCCCCCCTCCCCTCCTCCTCCTTTTTCGTCCTCATCCACCTCCTCTCACGGTTCCAGCAGGTCAAAGGAGAACTCTCGAACGTTGATCACGGGAAGGGACAACTGCAAGCTGAATGCTTCGAACTCCACTGCAAGGTTCCTCCTTCCCCTCCCTTGCTGGCCTCCCCCTCCCGCCTGCTCCCGTCTCTCCTCCCCTCCTTCCTCTTTCTCCTCTGTTCTCATATCAAACCTCTCTCCATCCTCCTGTCTGCTGACAGATGCGTTTGCCAGGCTCGCTACCTCAGGTTTACAGCAGAGAGTTTTTATGGCAAGGGGGCAGGTGAAGCAAAAGGAGAGCAAGAGGAACAGAGGGGCAGGCAGGGGGAACAGGGAGGGAGGGAGAGAGAGAGGGAGAGAGAGAGAGAAAGATGGAGGGAGGGAGGGAGGGAGGGAGGGAGGGAGGGAGGGAGGGAGGGAGGGAGGGGAGGAAGATATGATGATGAGGCCGCAGGTCTCAATTCATTTCGTGTGGTGGGATACAAACACAAAGGCTGGCGGGAAGTGACGCATCAGGTATGAAGGAGAGGAGGCAGCGAGGGCGGAGAAGGAGGGGGAGGCAGAGGAGGAGTTTCGGGTTCTGATCTGCTCCAACAGTGGAGGACGACGATGACGCTGGCGCTGACCTATCTGCTGCTCCACTCGTGGAGTTTTCCCCTTTGGATGTTTCTACGAGGGCAGAGGGTCTACGAGACCGGCTGGGACGCTTTGATTCTCTAGCAACGTCACCATAGCCTCCCTCCTCCCCTCCTCTGCCTCCCTTCCAGCTCGTCCTAGACACCTCAAACCCTCACAGTCTTGTGGCGAAGCTGAGCCAAGACAGCTCTCGACCTCAGATGCCAGCGTTCTCAAGGACTTCACTCGCAGACGGCCTCTTCTCCTTGGCGTCTCCTGCTCATCGTCACGATCAGAGATGAGAGGGTTTAGAAGAGCGATGAAGGGGCGCGAGAGCAGCTGAAGCATCAAGAAAACGCCTCCTAGACCTCTTCTTCTTCCTTGTAATGTTACACATTATACCATGCAGCCTCTTCACAACACTTCAACACGCAGGCGTCTTGTACGTCTCACCCGTCATCTCGGCAACGAACTCGCGCTGCTTCTTCACGACTGGGTCGTTGGGATCCTCCTCGTCCTCGACCGCCACCACTTCCGTCACCTCCGGCACATAGTGCATCAACATGTTCTCAACTCCGGACTTGAGCGTGACCTGCATGCACGTTGGGCGTCAACAGCGAGACAAGCCATCAGGAGGGAGGAGGAGTGAGCCGAGCCAGCAGGGCAGAGGAGGCGAGAGACCAGCCAGCAGGGCAGAGGAGGCGAGAGACGAGCCAGCAGGGGAGGAGGAGGGAGACGAGGGAGGAGGAGGAGGGAACGACCTTGGAGCTGCTGCACGTCGAGCAGGCTCCCTGTAGCCGCACTGTGACTCTTCCCGTCTCCTCGTCAAACCCGATGAAGCTGATGTCTCCCCCGTCGTCCTGCACCGCCGGGCGTATCCTGGTGTCCAGGAGCTCCTTGATCATCGCAACTATCTGTGCGTCATGGATCAGCACGGGAGGACGGGCTCTCGCAGCAGCACGCACCTCAGAGTCGTCCTCGTTCACCTTAGTGTCCTGGGGCATATCCTCCTCTGCGGTAATGATCGACTGCCCGGAAGCGTAGAAGTCCAGGATCGCATCAAACACCTCGGGCTTCATCTCCGCCCACGAGTGCTGGTCCTTGTTCTTGGTCACAGTGATGAAGTCTGGCCCGAAGAACACGCTGGAGACGCCATCGATGCGGAACAGGGCCTTGGCTAGCGGCGACTTCTGAGCAGCTTTCATGTTGGGAAAGTCCATGGTGCCAGTCGGCAGCACGGTCTTGCCAGGGTGAAACTTGAGACTGTCAAACAGGGTTAGAACAGAGTATCATCAGAGAATCGCTGTGTGGGAGGAAGAGGAAGAGGAAGAGGAAGAGGTTACCTGTTGATGTTCGGGGTAGAGTTCACATCGATGAAAAGGGAGCGCCATCCTGTCACTGTACGTGGAAGTGCTGGTGTAGAGATCATGTCAGGCTGTGAGCTGCTGCTCCCCCCTCTGATATCATCTCTGTCTTGCTACTTCTCCCCTTCCATCCTCTAGCCTCTCGGTCGCCTTCCATCAAATTCGTTTGTCGCACATTTCCTCGCATTTCGGTCCTCTGGGTGCTGCTACCTTGCTCTCCCTGCAAGCTCTTTCCTCCCTATTCTCTGCTCCTCTCTGCTGCTTCTCCCTGCTGCTCCTCTCACCTTCACTTTCGTCCTCTTCTCTTCCCCGCCACCTTCGCTCTCTCATCTCCCCTTACCATTTCTCGCTTGTCGAAGAATTCTGGCTCCCAGCATTGTGAGATGGCTTAGTAAAACCGACGGGTAGGTACTCATCAAGGAGGGGTGGGATCTATGTTTCAGGTTGATTTGCATCTGTATTGTGGGGTGTTCAAAGGTAAATTTGGGGGTGAGGGTGAGACATTAGTGGGTAGTGGCAGAGAGTACCAGGGTCCATGAACATGGGGGGTGGATCAGTCGAAGCAGGGGTAGAACAGGGGATGCTTCAAAAGAAGTGGGTAGGGGTAGACCAGAAGTTGTACCCCTACCTCTATTTTTCCTGAGGGAATGTGATGATATACCCCTACTTACTATAACCCTTTTGACTTTGGACCCCTACCTTTCTCGTATCTACCCCCCATCTTGTGTTTGCGTCCTTCCGGCACTGAATAAAAGTGGATTATATATATACACTCAAAGTTATATAGTTAATTAACTAATAATTAGCTTTGTAGACCAAAACAGAATATTTGAGTTCTTTATTGTCAGTTTTTCCATTTACTATAGAAGTGACATAAAATTCTTCGGGCATGGACCCCACCCCTCTAAATATATCATTTAGTACCCACCCCTGCGGTCACCTTCCGAAGTTCGCTGCCACCGAGTATTTTCTCCCACTACTACGTGACTCAGTAACTACTAAACGGAGGCCGGGCTTCAATTTAAGTTCACAGCCTCTCCAGTTCATCAGGTCTAGAGGTGCACTTGACTCGCAGTTTCAAGTTTGCGAACATAACTTAACTTGCCAAGTTGTCCATTTCAGCTGTCCACCGTTCGATTCGTCGAACTGCTCGGTCACTTCAGTACTAGCCGCAGCTCCTTTGTCGACCCAAGCTCCTGACAGACAGCTTTCCGAATGGCTCGGTAATCATACGGAGCTTGCGGAGCTTCCTGTGAGCTAGAAGATTGGCATTACACCCACCGGGCCCGCCGGTTCGGGCAGAGTCAGATTCATATGCATACACAGGCTACTGATGAAGTGTGGTGCAACCCGCCTTGGATCGCGGCCCGGCCCGTCCCGGCCCGGGGGCCGGGCCCCGGACCGTCCGACGGTCGAATTCCGAGTCCGATCATTCGGAGTCCATCATCAGGGCGCGTGACAGCCTCCCACAGCGGCTGTGACTCGTTGCGAGCTGAGCCGCCGTCGGCCAGTCCGTCGGACATGTAATAAGTGACGAGTCCTGCTATGATCCACAACTCACACGGTGATTTTTATTTCCACTCCCGGTATCATCGAAAGTGCATGAGGAGGAGGAAAACAGCACATCAGTCCGGCATTGAGCGCATCAAGCCTTGCAGCGGCGAATCAGCTCTGCAATGTCGGGGTCTTTGGTGTCCTCCGCCGGGGTTCTTCCCTTCCTGTCCAGCACCCCCGTGTCGATCTTGTCACTCTTGAGAAGGTTCTCCACGCATCCCCTGTGGCGGTAGAATGCTGCGACGTGGAGGGGGAACTGTTGCTTTGAGTTGGGTTTGTTCACATCTGCCCCTGCCTCAATCAACATTCTAACAATGTTGGAATGCCCGCGCCTACAAGCTCGGTGAAGAGCAGTGTTACCCATCATGCCGGCCGCATCGACATCGATCTTGGGGGGTTGGAGGTTGAGGAGGAAGGTGGTGCAGCGCTCGCTTCCACCCTCTGCTGCAGAGATGAGAGTGCTGTTGCCAGTGTTCTCCTCCATGCTCAGCAGATCGCAGTGAGGCGCCTGGCTGACCAACTCCAGGTTGTCCTCGAGAGCAGCACGATGGACCGAGTAATGCGTGCTTGCCATCCTCTTCCAGCAGGCGGTGAGGGGAGTGGCTATCCTGGAAGCTGGTGAGGACCTCAGAGCATGGCGGGGTATGGAGGGTCTGAGAGCATGGAGGAGCATGGAGGGATTCAGAGCATGGAGGAGCATGGAGGGATTCAGAGCATGGAGGAGCATGGAGGAGGAGGCGATGGCGGTCAGCGGCAGGGGCTATCGCATCGCATCTCACCTGGGCGCTTGCAAGGCTCTTAAAACACAGTTTTAGATTTGAGGTCTTGATGGAGATTTCAGCCACATTGTACCTGAATTTTTGAAACTTAAATATATATTAATCATTATGTATAATATAATTTGAAATTTAAATTACTATAACAATTTGTAAACTTTTATAAATGAAATATAGTGTACCCTACACATTTAAAATAATTTAAACTATCCTAAATGTTTGTAAAGTCTTTTTTTCCTCCTCCTCGTGCTCTCGTGAAGCCTGTCGCTATGGTGAGTGCGCAAGTTGGAGGATTCGGCGGCGATGCAGCAGCCTGACAGCATGCTCCCCTACTCTTGTACCCACAATCACGATAAATCTCTCCATCTCCACGAGTCTACCTTCCTTCCTTGTCCTCACTCTCCATCCCCATCGCCTCTGTTCTGGGCTTGCCGTGCCATGCGCATTTTCTCTTGGTGATGTGGATTGGGTGGCATGCTGTTCGTCTGATTGTGTAACTTTGTTTGATTCTGTTCCTTTCCTTGTTATATCATTACTTCGTGCCGAATATGTTGACTGTCACCCAACCCTCTTGTCCAAAATTGATGTACAGAGCGTTCGCAAAGCTGTCTTGCCCGGTGTCGACTTATCTTTACATCTTCACATCATTTCGCATGATTTGTTGCGCTCTAATGTGAACGGGACAGAGTTGATGTTGAGCTTCTCAATAGTTACTTTATTCGAATTGATGTCTAAGTTGATGTATCGTGCACTGCACCGTCCGTTGGATCTTATGAAAGGGGGAGTTATCTGAACGGGAGGAGGGGGAATCGGGGGCGATTTTGTACGTGTTTCTCGTAGCATGCTCCTGCTCCTGCTCGTACTCCATTCATTCGAAACATTCATCGGAGGGATTACAGTCATAATGCAGGCTTCATCACAGTCTCGCACATGTTTCAGCACCTTGATCGTTATCTGACATTATTCAAACAGCCTGCTCACAAGTCCTTCAAGATCAAGAAAATTCTTGCAAAGAAAGCGCGTCAGAACAGGCAGATCCCTCAATGGATTCGTCTAAGGACGGACAATAAGATCAGGTGACAAGCGCGATGTGAGGCCTGAGGTCTTGGCATGACCAGCATTGCAGGTATAACTCAAAGCGAAGGAATTGGCGCCGCACCAAGCTCGGCCTTTAAGTTTGATGGTTGTGTTCTCGAAGTGAGCTGCTGCGATTCTATGATATAAAAACCAGCGCGACATCCTGTGCCTATCTAGTCTGTAGAGCAACTTTGAAGTGTGAAGCCAAGTGGTTCGTTGGAGTTTACGTCTAGAAAGAACGTTTGCTGCAAGCGGGCAGCAGCATGCTACTTATTCTTGACTGGGCGCGTTTGACTTTGGTTTCGACCTTATTGAAGGTGCTTTGGACACCTTACGAGTCGGTGGAGGCTTGGCTTCCTTGGCCTGCTCCTCTTTCTCCTATCAAACACCATCACAACCTGTGAAGTCCTTGCGAGACATTCAATGTCATCCACGCACCCTCTCCTGCATCTCCTTATACATCTTGAGATCTTCCTCCTTGTAAGCAAGCGCCTTGTCGATCGAAGCCTCCTTGTACTGCGTCGGAAGCTCAGGTGTCTTACTCGAACCCCTCCGCGTGTTGCGCGTACCTGCCCCTTAGGATCCAAGATGAAAGCGGGACCTTCGTCTGTCACGTAGATCAGAAGGCAGCTAGGAAATCCGCACCCGCTCTCACCAGCATGCAGCGATGGGATCTCCCCAAAACAACTCTCGAAGTAGTGCAGCCTAGGTTCAAACTTTCAGGCACTATCACTCTCAAAACTTTGCGAAACCAAAGATGGAGCGGGTCCGACAGCTTGGAGCGATCTAGAGACGACACGTCCACCTACCGGCACTAGTGAGGAAGGAACACAACCCACTGCGTCTCATTTCTCACCGGAGGTGCTCCGATATCCTCCAACAAGTCGCTACCCGCTGGAACCTGCAGGTGAAACAGTTGGCAGGGAAGTGCAGAGACAACAAGAGAACCAGGAGAGGCTTGAGATGATCTACAACCCTCTGCTCCTTCCTCACTTGCTGCAACACATGCATCAAAGCAGATGTCTTGGTGGACATCGTCGACAAACCTGGCCCTTGAGGAGATATTGACTCAGGATCTGGCGGAAATTCGAGATGAGCTGTTTTTCATTCTGCGACGTGTACAGCAACGATGACCCGTTTGTATGAGCCAGGAAACGAAGAGTCCGGCTCATGACCTTCTTCAGCTCCGGATCTTTGTGTGCAAACTCATCATATTTGCTCGCTACGATCACAATGTTGACGGGATGAATCTTGAACAAGTTGCTCAAGGGTCCCTGCATGTCCTTGTGCTTCTCCCCCCCATCGCCGAATCGCCTGATCGACCTGTCCTTGAGCATCTCGATGAGTTTCGCTTGTTTCGGGTCCTTCTTGCATATCTGCTCTAAAGTCTGTATCCTCCTCTCAAGCTTCCTCAACCAGAATTGCACCACTGCGATAACCTCGCTCGGTTTGGAGAGATCTGCGACTATAACGAACGCAACATTCTTGAGATTATTCTCATTCAATGGCACATCCAACAGATCAGGCAGAGATGTCCCTCCTCCAACCTCCCAGAAATGTGCCACATCCTTGTTTCCTGTCTTGCCCTTGTCGACGGTTCGAGCAAACGAGTAGTCAAGGGCAATTGTTGGTTGTAGTTCGTCGTCTTTGTCAGAGCTCTTGCATCGTTGGATCAAAGTCGATTTCCCGGAAGATTTTGTCCCGACCAAGATAGCATGGCCCTCAGACTGTTGTGAGGCTTGCTTTCTATTCATCTGTACTATCATCTTCATTAAATCCTTCTGCTCCTCGTTACCACCAGCATTATCTTGGGTGGAGCCTTGGGACTTGGCAGTCGGAGGTGCTTTGGTCAAGCTTTTACTACTCACCTTCTTCTCGACTTTGGGTGCATCGTTGGTCTCTTTTTTGCTCGTCTCTGCAGACCTGCTTTCATTGGGTGCTTGCTCATCTTCGTAATCTTGGTTTGATGCCTCCATGTCTCCTGATCCTGCTCCCTCTCCTGCTCCTGCTCCTGCTCCTGCTCCTGCTCCTGCTTTCTATCCCACTATGCAATTTACGAAGCCATTGCGATTCGACTCCCGCCAACAGACGAAACTTTCCAACTTTCACATCACCAGGCTTTTGGTACAAACTTCAAACTTATATCCAAAGTTTGAAGCTTTATATCCGAAGTTTGACTTACTGGCGACTGGCGCACTAAGACCCAAATTAAACACTAATATTTTAAATTAAAAAATACATATTTGAAAAAGCAACGTGAAAATGTTTGAACAGTGAAATGTGACGTTCCATCGGTCCGCTGTTATCAGCCAGTAGTGCGGCATGAAGTACAGAGACTGAGCAGGAGGGGAGGAGGAGACGAGGAGAGGAAGAGGAGCAGGGAGGTAAGCCGAACAAGGTAAGAGGAGCTGGAAGATCAAGTTTGGCGCATACAGGGTTCACGGGACGTTCGGACTCCGTGTCACGGTTCAAGGACCATGGGAGCAGAAATTTCGAGCATCGACAAGGGATTGAAGTGCGATTGCTGCTCAAACTTATCGAGCAACAAAGAGCAGGGGAAGAGCAAAACAGGCTACCGCTTCCCTACCACAAGACCGAGCGTGTCTTCGATCAATCAGGGAGTCCTGCTGGATAACCTGCTGACATTATCCGAGCACGGCCAACCTCAGGCCCTGCAGTCGTTTCTGGACGCAAGAAAGGACGCGGTCAATGTGAACATGCAGAACGAGGAGGGAGATACGGCACTCCATCTTGCAGCTCGAAAGGGGAAGATCAACAATTGCAAGATCTTGCTGCAGGTAGTCGAAGTGCCGGCACGTGTGTGAGCTCTGACGGGGGAGCAGCGAGGAGCTGTGCTGCTCAAGAACAACGAGGGCAAGACAGCGCTGGACATAGCGATTGAATCGAATCACATCTACTGCGCAGGAGCCCTGCGAAGTGTGGAAGGGAAGGTGTGCATGACAGCAACTCGATAGCGAGCTCGGGGAGTGATTTTGTTTCCTCAGCAGCTGCAGGAGCAGGACAGTGCGAATGCTACTGTTAAGCACGCGTTGGGTAAGTCCAGCCCGCTCATGGCAGCAGCAACTCACCCCCTCCTTTGGCATCAGAGTACTTCAGCCCCCCGCTAGAGGTCACTGGCCTCTATGACTACGAGGCCTCCGATTCGCTTCCGTTCCCCCCCGACCACAGAATGGAGCTTCATATCCACAAGGTGAGCAGACCGAGGCTGATTGCCGAGCTCTCACTGGCTGCGCAGGGAGAGAAGTTTGACGTCATCTTCATCCGTCCGGATGGCTGGTGCCTGGCCAGTCGACCTGGGATGAAGTACCAGGGTTACATCCCCGGGAACTTTGTACGGCAAAGAGAGATTTAATTTACTTGTGATTGTGACATGCTCCTCAGGTTACATCAAACGGATCCGAACCTCTCGTTCAGATTCGAAACTAACAACATCCAACAGTACAATGTATAATTTCAGCTCCACCTACCTTCCGCCGACGTGTTCAAGAGTGTTTAGATACAGACATACATTCAAAGTGAGATCGGGATGCAGAAAAACATAGATTTGTCATTCTTCTTCTTTCCTCTTGACAATACATCCTAATTTTAAAATGTCAATCGGAAAGACATCATTATACATCGCACAAGTTTCACCTCATCGTCTTCATCCTTCCGCGTGTCTCTTTCTGATTTGCCTTTGCTCGAATCATTGTCATGCTAAATATTCTTGCGTTAAATCCATTTCATTGCAATGGAGATAGGTTACCTCAAAGGAGAACGGTTTGGAGTTTGAGTCTTTGTTTATCATGTCTTCCCTCTGTCCAGATTCCGTGAGACACATCAAAAACACCTGAAGCATTCCTGATACCAGGCATTCAAGCTTCACCCTGTTCAGGCGTTCTTCAGCCTTCTGCTTTAATTCTTCCGCTTTCTCCGGGTTAATGGACTTGTCTTTTTCTTCATGCTTGATGTTTGAAAGTTCCTCTTCAAAGGTTGATACGGCTTCCTTCAGCATGTTGAAACATGTAGAAATCTGTGCTCTTCTGCGCTGCGGAGTGAAACTTGGCATCGATTCTTGCCTGTCTTTTTTCCCCTGAATAAATTCTTATAAATGTGGCTTATCAAAGAAAACAGAAGCTATACCTGAATATTGAGAAATCCAGAGCTAGAGACAAACATGCTCATGTCATGCTTCGATATTGTGGAAGTAATTCTGTCTAAGAGCAGTTGTATTCTTCGGTTGTCCGGAAAGATGTCTTGTATTCTCAGGAGGAGCATTTCAGCCTTCTGTAACTCATGAAAGCGTCGCTTATAATCAATTCCTGCCAACAACAATTCTGCGTAAGAGATTGAGGATTCTAGTGAGCGTGGATTGATCTGGAGAGCCTCCTGCAAATATTTTTCAGCAGAATTCCGTTCTCCAATCCCAGCGAGAAAGCATGAGTAGGCTCTCAATATCTCGACATTCCGCGGATTTCGATGAATCTCTGTCTGATACAATTCTTGAATCTTCCTTAGATCCTTATTTTTGCAAAGATCAGCATTGATTCTTCTCAGAATATCGACAGTAGCATGCGCAAATTCGTCCGCCCTTCTCCAAGTAAAAACAGGTTTTGCTGGCGTCGACTGCTCGTTTCCAAACGAAGGTGACTTCACAGATGATATCGCGTTTGCAAGCGCAGGCGAGCTTGGCGTCGACTGCTCGTTTCCAAACGAAGGTGACTTCAAAGATGATATCGCGTTTGCAAGCGCAGGCGAGCTTGGCGTCGACTGCTCGTTTCCAAACGAAGGTGACTTCAAAGATGATATCGCGTTTGCAAGCGCAGGCGAGCTTGGCGTCGACTGCTCGTTTCCAAACGAAGGTGACTTCACAGATGATATCGCGTTTGCAAGCGCAGGCGAGCTTGGCGTCGACTGCTCGTTTCCAAACGAAGGTGACTTCAAAGATGATATCGCGTTTGCAAGCGCAGGCGAGCTTGGCGTCGACTGCTCGTTTCCAAACGAAGGTGACTTCAAAGATGATATCGCGTTTGCAAGCGCAGGCGAGCTTGGCGTCGACTGCTCGTTTCCAAACGAAGGTGACTTCAAAGATGATATCGCGTTTGCAAGCGCAGGCGAGCTTGGCGTCGACTGCTCACTTCCCGAGAGGATGGATAATTTTGATTCCGCGTCTCTTGCCTCAGTCATATTGAGACTCAGGCTGTCTTCTATTTTCATAGTATGAGACAGTGTTTTGCTCGAATTTGTTTGTGATTCGCTGTCATCGTCATCAGAGTCGTTCACCTGCAGTTGTACAATTCCATTGAGTGTGCTTTCATCCTGATTCATTTCGGGCAACTCCATTTTGCTGCTCAATTCAACTTTGCTAGGAGCTAACGGGTCTATGATGTTGTCCTCAGATGAAGCTTTTCCTTTCCTTGCAAGGCTGTCAGTATCCGACATCGACCTGCCAAGAAAGACTCAGAGGCAGCCAAATACTGCTCAACGCATGTCGTCTTCGTCAAGCCAGATCAAAAGGCAGCTACAAAAGAGCCAGTCACAATCGCAATGGGCGAAAGGATTCTAGCCGAAAACATGTAAAATTGATGGATGAAGTGAGGAAGTAAATTGTGATACGAATGAAACTGAGGGAAATTGGGAAAATATGCACCTGGAAACAACAAACAAGCCGGGAAAAATGCACCAAAAACGACATAACACGTCCACCCCTAACAAGACGTGAGAACATCAAGCTACGTGTGAGAAATCTTCAACCATGCAAGAAAAAATTCGAGCAGACAGAGATCAATCATGAGGTATTGTCCCGCATGTCAAAGTCCTTGCTGTCAATTCACATGATCACGCTGAGTTCTTGAAAAACGAAGGCGTACAAGTCTATCAGGCACTGGTACTCTAAGGTATGAAGATAAGATCAGCACAAAGGTATGTGTAGTCATTCAGTAAAGCGTTCTCAGAGGAGGGGAATGCTTGCATCCATGCCCTCGCTACCATGTGTGCGACCATCGGGCCGCCACGGTAACTTTCATGCATGGTTTGAAAGTAGCGGCAGGTGGGTAGGATAAACTCAAAATGGAGGGGTGGTGGTGGTGGGGACGGAGGGTGGGTACATAAAAGAGGGTGACAAAAGAGGATGAGAGATACGAAAATTGAGGGACATGGGGGGGTAGGGTGGGAGAAAGGAAGGGGTGGAATTGAAGTGAGTGGTGGCCATACAAGTGGAGCACAAGGTTGGGGGGGGTGATTGTTTTGTGGCAGTCTGCAGGACGAGGGGGGTGGTAATAGGGAATCAGGGGGTAGGGGTACGACAAGAGTAGTAGTGGAAAAGGACCACTCGTAGAGATTGCCAGCTCAGAAATCAGGGTGGGGGTAAAGGTGCAGGTCAGAGGTGGGGGTAGTCATGGTTAACAATAGGGGTGATTCGACCAGGCCAAGTTGGTGGAAAAGTTAAATCTTATGGGTGGGTGCTGGTGGCTTATTAGTTGCATTCCCGTTGCAGGGTGGGTGGTCCCCACAAAAGTATCTGTAGTGCCTCAGAAACTGAGGGTGGTAAGATATGAAAAAGGGGGTAGTGGTGCTGACTCTGTGGTGGCCACCCCCCCCTGGCGCAATCTTCTTTAGCGTCAAGGTCGACCGTACTATCACCTGAGTACCCCCTGACCAAGTTCAACACAGAAACCACCGATATACCTACCGGTAGCCCCTGATAGGCCCGGCTATGTAGGGGTCCCACCCTGACTTTCATGACCCCTACCTCCTTATCGAAAGCACGGTAGCTACCGTAGTACGGTAGCCCAGCCCGGCCCAGCCCAGTGACCAGAGCCGTACTGTCGTACTACTTTGCCGTACTAGCCCTATGACCCTGTTTCATAGGCGCACCGGCAAAGGCTCATACGGGACCGTTCCCCCGGTACAACTGCAGTATCATAGACCACAGAGGCGGACTCGTCTCTTGAAGCGTGGGACGGTCGGCAGCAGGCGGACTGGGCCCGGGCCGGGCCCCGGCGAATCACTGTTCGGATCGGAGGATCCTCCGGGCCCCGGCCCTCCGAGGAAACGGCGGACTGGGATAGGAGTGCCCGTACGGTCACTGAGAGCTACACAGCACCCGGATCGGACCTTGCCCCCGGCCCACGGGGGTGGAACTCCCAATAAAAGGGTCTAGTACCGGTGTATTTGTACGATATCTTGGGGGTACCTTTTCAGGAGGGGGTGGGTGAGTTTGCAGGAAATCGCAATGGCAGCAAGGCGGCGACCAGGTTTAAGGATGATTAACTCAGCCTGTGCAATGATGACAATCGTGAAACCACCATAGCCTATCAGGAAATTGTAAAATCTATATCATGGTATCACTCATTTGAATGTCATCGTAGCAGTGTTTAATATTTTCTACAATACGTACTCTCTTTTTTCTACTTGCAGCCAGCAATGCTACGCAATCCCCGGGACCGTTGCATATTACCTGTTAATCCTTCATCCCATTGCCCTGATTTAGCATATACTCGCTTTCGATTGTTCTTCTCCGTACTATTGTCTGGCTCCACATCATTATCAGATCCATCCCGTGCATTGAAAGCTTCACGGTCGTGCGGTTTGCTCAGGACAATTCGCTTCTTCGAATGCTCATATACAAAAGGCAGGTTTGGATCCACCTTTTTAGATAATTCTATGCATGTCTGATTGAATTATCTCAGAAAATCTTTCTTGTTTAGATGGCCGATCAAGGACCACAGATTCTCTACACTATCCGTGCAGAGAGTTCGTGAATTGAATTCATGGTCTCTATCACCCAGCGCATGATTCTTATCCCTCACATACTGCTGTACTTGCAGACGAGCATCAATTGCAACTATGAAGCCTTCAAATGTTACAGATGATAGTCCCTTGACATGTTTTTGGCTGACACTGGTCCAGTCGATGCCTTCCAATAGCCATCTTCGACCCTCTTGAACGAGACGTATCCTCTCTGAAACTTTCAGCCCTCTTTCATCGAATGCTTTGTGCAGGCCAGACATAGCCTTTGCCATTCTTGCTGTCGCTTCATGCCCTTCTGCCTTTAGTAGACTGATGGCCTTGTCACTGAACATCTTCAGCATGATATCCACCGATTGTGGATCGGCGGTCCCGTCGACTTCCATCTGAGTCATCCAAGCAGGATTCTTCTTGGCGATATCACTGTAAGCTTTATGCCATATCTGGGCTTCCGTAGAAGACGATTGAGACTTCCCTGATCCAATGGAATGCCTTACATTCTTCAACAAGTGATTGATGCACGGTGAGAAAAACAGCAACTTGTTCGTAATTGGAGAGAGGACGGGATTGGATAACCATTCGCCGAATCTAAAGCGAATCTTGTGTTCATCAAAGTCATTTAGTCCATCAGCTATTCTTCGCTCCATCTCCCAAGGAGTGAATGTTTCCTCCTCCTCGTCATTGTGGTTGGCCAATGAAAGAACTTCTTCATATCCGTTCCGTCTGCAAAATATTTGAAGCCTGCAAAACATCTCTTTCTCTAAAGCGAATCTAAAGCGAATCTTGTGTCACTTGTGTCAACATGCATATCCGACATTCTTGCATACCTGTGCAATGATCATCAGGTCACTGGCATGGAAATAAACAACATCTCAGACTTACTTCACAAAGTAATCGTGTATAGTAGTTTGCAATGAATTCAAATTCTCGAAGTGAGCAGTAGACCATTCTTCCATTCGAGAAAGAAGGTTTCGATGCTTCCTGTGAATATTGCCAATACGTGTATGAAGTCGATTCAAGTGCTCATAAATGGCCTTTGTGCCTCCATGTGATTTACCAGATGCTTGTTGTTCGAAAACCTGTGTGTAGTGCTGGAGAAAACATCTCGAGAATCCTTCTGATGTAGGCCCCTAGACATCTCCGAGGACCTTTAGTTTGTTCTGGACTTCATACAAGGATACAGAATGAAGACTCCGCTTGAGGTAATGGGTCGCTGAAGCTAAAAGATTCTCGTCTTCACACTCCACAGATAAAGTTGCATGGCCATGACATTGCATGAAATCCAACAGCTTGAAAACCAAGGCACCATCCCATTGAGAGAGCAGGATCTGCTCAAGATCATTGCAATCATTGTGTTTTTTCAACCTTGCAACACAAGTTGTGCACATAGACACACCATGCCACTTTCGAATGCTGGTCATCTGTCTTCGTCTGTGGCATGATGAGCATATTTTCGCTGGAGGCCTCGCTGGAGGCCTCGGCCTGCCCATGGTGTGGGGCAACATAGCTTTGCCCGCCAAAACTTTGATTCGAATTTTCTCGTGACACCCTGCCATGGCATGCAGCACCCCCTAAATCCCCCGCCATAGTGCCCCGAACGCTCTGCATGGAGGCGCGATGAGGAAAGGAAGGGGGGGGTATTTAACTAAATATTGGTATCAGTTTTAATCCCAACACCAGGGGTTGGCTCGGCTGTCAACCCTTCAGTCACGTTGTGCCTCAGCTTGAGTCAAGCTCGGAAGAGCAAGGCTCCTACGGTATCATTCGGCTGAGTGGCAGTGCCATCGGAAGTGGACTCCGTGGCAGAGGACTCGACAAATTGGCAGTGCTGTATCATACAACAGTTGTGCTCTTTATATCCGGTTCAATGCCATGATGCGAGACGGTCTCCCTTGTCTCTTCGTTGTAAAGGTTCTCTTGATATTGTTCCGCTCTTTTGGGCCGTCACGGGGAGATGTTGATCGCCTTAGTTGTGGATGCCACATCATTCAAGCAAGCAACAGTACAGATTTGTTTGCGTCATTCGACGAATTCATGACTAAGACAAAAGGGTACAACACGACAACAGACTGGCAATGATCTAAGCTGCTATCTCGGCGTCGCACATCAGAAAGACTCTGCGGGCAACATCATCAGTAATCAGCAAGCATATATCGACTCGTACCTTGATCCTGTTCAAGTCATGGCTTTGGCTCAGCGCTGTCGTCCTCAGATTTTCGCCTATGCTTTTCCAGGATAGATTTAGTCTCCATCAGCTCTCCCTCTTCTGCTGACGCGTCATCGAAAAAGTCCACCTCCTTCTTGAAAACATGTGCAACTTCGCTGAAAAATCTGATCTCCTCCTTAGCTGTACGTGAAGATAAAAACACAAACAGCCCCGTCGGTCCATGGATGTGTTCCGACAGGTACCCATACAACATCTTCTCCTCTGATAAACCAGGCATCAAAAGGTCCTCTGGTAACCCGATCCGTTTCCATACGGCCAGTCGTAAGCTATTATTCGTCTGCAAGTGCCTGTTCATCGCACGCATAGAAAGCTGTCTTTGAATCATCAGCTCCAAGTCCTTCCGCGGCAAGCCTTTCTGTACAGAGTTGATCTCCTCGCCGCCGTCCTTGCTGTTGGCAATGATATCCATAGCTTTCCTAAAAAGATCCTCAACCAGATACCTGTGTTTGTGCAATCATTCAGTAGAGGCCACACCATGGCAAACAAAGTCTTCACCTCTGAGAGATGTATGACACTCGCCGTTTGTAGTAGTTGACAATAATCTGATGATAGATATCCGCCTTCTGCAGCTGCAGCTGCTTCTCCGCATCCTTATCATTCAGCGCTAGTGCAACGACATAGGCGGACCCATTCGGATCTTTAATCTCCAGCAACTCACACGCATGCTTGAGATATGTTGAAGCGCGATTGCGAGATGACGCATCAGCAGCTGTGGTGAAGAAGCGATAGCGAGATGATGTATGAGTAGCTGTGGTGAAGGAGTGATAGCGAGATGATGTATGAGTAGCTGTGGTGAAGGAGTGATAGCGAGATGATGTATGAGTAGCTCTGGTGAAGGAGTGATAGCGAGATGATGTATGAGTAGCTCTGGTGAAGGAGTGTACTCGCGGGTGAAGGCCTGAGGGGCTTGTATGGAGGCTCCTCCCAGCAGACCAGACAAAGCGGCGCAGTAGTTGCATGGCGATAGTTACGCTGTTTTCCATGAGGAGTGCTAGACTGGGGAGGCTTGAGCTTTCGGAGGTCGAAATCAGAGCTCAAAGAGAACTTCGGCTTGGGATGATGACATCTAAGTGGGTACATGATGGTAAAAAGACCGGGTAGTGTTGAGAGCATTGAAATACTTTCAGACGAGCTTCAAACTGGCGCGAAAGTCAAGACCCACAAACCTTCTCAATCCCGCCAAAAGTGCGCCAAACCCCTGGCTAAAACCGCAACTCCGGGTATGACAGGTAGCCATCACTTGGGTGGGCCAAACAGCTTGCCCCCGCCTCTTCAGAGCTATCTTCGAGGGTAGGGGGTAGTCCTAAGTGAATCCGAGTGGGGTACTTTCGTTCGATGGTTGTTTTAGAAATGAAGGTGGGTAGTGAAAGTAGCTTGCTACAAGTAGCGGCTAGTTATCTCAAGCTGAGCCAGCATACCATCAACACTTCTCATGTGCGAGCAAAGTTGACGCTTCTAGGTGACCTCTTTGGACAGAATGCAGAGGGCTTCAAAAATTGTTTCCTTCATTACTTCACCTCGTTTCAACAAGGAGCAGATGCCAAAATGCATCGATGATGATCAATTCCAGCTGCACATAGACGCGCAAAAGCTTCGAATTCAAGTAAAGAATCATCGGCAAAAGCAAAAGGCATTGTGTAAGAAAATCAGACATTGGGCCACTTCGCACTATGACACTGTTGACGAGCTACAAAAGCAAATACACGATTATCACTCAAGGTAACCAGCGAGCTGGAATGCACCAGAGTACTGACATGCCACATGCAGGTATGTAAGGCCTGAACATATTAGCCAAGACCAGAACAGCAATATCAAAACAGCATTCGCTCTCCTCGCACATACAATGTGCGAGAACTTCAAGTCAATGCCATTGGAGGATAGACGTGATTTCATCCGAAGCATTCTTGAAGAGCATGAGTCTCTTGAAGAATCCAATGACGAAAGTCCTGCTGCCAAGTGCTTTCTCACCATCTGCCATGTTGAAAGGGCGATGGATAACCTCCGTTCTGCTGAGCTTCCCGACATAGTTTCAGATGTCGTAATGTTCGCCAGTCAGGAAGGAGATGGCATGAAGAGCAAACACCCCATCATGCCATTCATAGTGAGCGACTGGATACGACAAGGCTTTCGAACAAAGGACACTAGAGGCATGCGATACTCTGAGCAAGTCATGAGTTTCGCTGCATCAATTTGGAATGTCGGCACCTCAGGTCTATATCGCTTGCTCACAGGGCCGGGGAACAAAAATACTGGAACTTTTGATGCGGACCAGATGTTACACAACTTACCTCTGCCATCCACATCCACTCTTCAGAAACGAGATAGGCATCTCATGAAACTGCATGGCAATGATAGGTCCAGAGTGTGCACATCTATGATGGATGAATTCCGTCGAATGAATCCTGAGCATTGTCAGACTGGAGTGAACTGTTGTGCGATCGACAAAACAATGATAAATGCAGGATTTTGTTCTGTGTTTGAGGAATGTGAAGCAGATCTGGGGGGTATAACAAGTCATGAACCTGACTTGGCTCAGCGACTTGACCTGCTTGAAGATCGCAAGGAAAAGTTTTGTTTGACAACCGGAGGCGAATCTCCAGAGGATGTCAGGTTCACACCACATCAACGTTACCTCAAGACAGTAATTGAAGGCTGTGAACAGATGGATGTAGAAATTCCTCGATTGATAGGAAAACTGGAGGGAATGGCGAATGGCGATCTGCCTGTCAACGAATCAGAACTTCAAAACGAGTTGTACAAGTACAATGAGAAATTTTACAAGCATACAGTTGCTGAACTGGCTGAAGATGCCATCAGTGTGGTTGCACAAGATGGATGTGCGAGCACACCCCCTGTCCCCATGTACATTGGTTTTTCAACCAAAAGTTTAAGTGCCAAAAGTTTAAGTGCGTGGGGAGAAGAAGCTTTTCAACGCAGAGGAAGGAACACGGGACAAAGAGAATGAGTGCAGGTCCCAACCTCGATCTCGGAAACGTATACATACTCAATCTTTGGATACACGAGGAGGATTCACAGGACAAATGCCTAGATTTCAGGGTTTACGAACTTTGTCTGGTTGTAAGTCTACGGAAGAAGAGATAGAAAGGACAAAATGTCAAAAATTAAGACGTGTACAAAGCGAACAAGTATAGAGAATGACAATTTGTATGTATCTCTAAATACAAAATGTTTGTTTTGCATTGTACAGATTTTCATTCTTGAGATATTCATCCTCGAAACAGTTTGTCGCGGGATCGCCATTGCGATTCCCAACAAATTCTTCTACCCCACCCCTGTAAAAAGGATTGAAAAAGTTGGAAAAGCATAGGCGAAAATCTGAGGACGACAGCGAGCCAAAGCCATGACTTGAACAGGATCAAGGTACGAGTCGATATATGCTTGCTGATTACTGATGATGTTGCCCGCAGAGTCTTTCTGATGTGCGACGCCGAGATAGCAGCTTAGATCATTGCCAGTCTGTTGTCGTGTTGTACCCTTTTGTCTTAGTCATGAATTCGTCGAATGACGCAAACAAATCTGTACTGTTGCTTGCTTGAATGATGTGGCATCCACAACTAAGGCTATCAACATCTCCCCGTGACGGCCCAAAAGAGCGGAACAACTATCAAGAGAACCTTTACAACGAAGAGACAAGGGAGACCGTCTCGCATCATGGCATTGAGCCGGATATAAAGAGCACAACTGTTCTATACAGCACTGCCAATTTGTTGAGTCCTCTCAGTTCACTTCCGATGGCACTGCCAGCCACTCAGCCGAATGATACCGTAGGAGCCTTGCTCTTCCGAGCTTGACTCAAGCTGAGGCACAACGTGACTGAAGGGTTGATGCAACTCCGGGTATGACAGGTAGCCATCACTTGGGTGGGCCAAACGCAGGGCCCGGCCCAATGTTTGCCCATGGGTTCTGCTTGCCCCCGCCTCTTCAGAGCTATCTTCGAGGGTAGGGGGTAGTCCTAAGTGAATCCGAGTGGGGTACTTTCGTTCGATGGTTGTTTTAGAAATGAAGGTGGGTAGTGAAAGTAGGTACCTTCAATGGAAATTTGTTTACCAAAAGGAGGTAGGGTAGGAGGTGAAGGAGGGTACTGAAGAGATTGACCTGGTGGGGGTACTTGAATGTGATGTTGGAGGAAAGGAGGTGGTTGAATTTGTGGTGCGACTGATGATGAAGCAACGATGACGTTAGGGATATGAAGATGGTGGGCAAGATGGGCAAGATGGAGGAGAAAATAAGTGTGATGAAGGATGAAATAGCCAGGAACACAGAAGATGAGGACGAGGACGAGGACGAGGACGAGGACGAGGACGAGGACGAGGACGAGGACAAGGAAGCAATTCTAGGGTTTGCCTCAACACTGACGATAGCAAATTGCTGGGAAATCCATCGTATGATTAGCTTGAGATGTAGGATCATATACCAAACGAAAAATATTTGTGATTTAACGTACTTCCTAGAAGAAGGAATGTTGTCATTCAAGTTTTCAAGTATTGAATCGCAAGAATCTGATGTTTTCCTTGTCTGTCAGATATTATGTCATGATGGGTCCATCATTTGTGGCACATTGCCGGCAAAAGGCCGCCGAAGAGCTTGAAGCTGAGTTTCGTGAAGACAACTGTATCAACGCGGATGACACTGAAGGGAAAGGGTTCCGTCTGCAGGCGGAAGGGCTGTGGCGCAAAAAATTTGGCAACTTCTTGAAATACATTCCTGGGGTTGGGTCAAGGGAAGAGGTGAAGAACTCAGTTGAAGATCAAGATGGTAAAGATAGTTGCGGTCCTGAGGGGCATGCTAACAGTGTTGAAGACACCAAGTTGTTCCATTCCTCCGCCACTCGTCATGACCAGGACCTCGAGGAGGTCTTGCTGGAGTTCGACACCCTGTACATCAAGTGAGAGATGAGGAGATGAGACTGAGCTCTTGACTATCATGGAACAGGTTGTGGAAGCTCATGATAGATCTCAACACCGACTTGATGCTCAGACAAAGCTTGACCGCCACAAGTGATGCCCGGAGTTGTCGGTGAGGTTGGGAAACTAACATGTGATGCGAGATGAGAAGCCGCACTGGTCGTCCTGCTTCTTGAGCTGGGAAAGTCCTCAGTGCTCCAAGGCGTTGAGCAAGATTTGCAGCTCCCTGCAACAGTGAGTGAAATGTTGCATCACAAAGTGTAATCGATTCCTGCACAAAGGATGCAGAAGTTTGAAGAAGAAGCGAAGAACTCCCTTTCCACCTTTCATGGTGCTCTAGACTTTGCGTTCCGAGTTCATGTTGGATTTGCACAGGTGAGAGGTGCTCTCTTGTTGAGCTTCATTCTTTGATGCAACTCGTAGGAATCTGTCATTGGCCTGGAAAAAGCGCGAGAGAGGATGGATGTTGCAAGTATACAGCTGAATGTAACAGATTCATTTTGAATTGTTCAGTATTTGACATTTGCTCAGATTGTTGAGAGACAGAATGAGAAGAAGAATCAGATCCCGGAGTTGAAGAAAAAGTTTGAAGTACATTTCGAGCTTGCCATGGACTCCTCCTAAATCTGCTCTAGACCTTGGAGAAGGCGTACAAGATGCAAGCCATGCTGGTCGAGTACTACCTGCCCGATGTCATTGTACAGGTCCAGCTCTCCTCATATCTCTCGTTCGCCTCCGACGGATTCCTTAATTCCTTGCAGGTGGAGTCGACGATCTTGAATGGGCTCCATTCATTCGTTCATTCGGAAGTCCAGCGATATTTCTCAGCATATAAGGTCGAGGAGGAAGGCTGGGACCCCTCAGTGTCCTCTGACATCAGTGCTGAATCTTGCAGAAGATGCAGCCATTGCAGTATGATGTCTCCTTCTTGGAGGGGACCCTCTGCAAGGAATTCGAGCCCCTGGAGCGAAGGAGAGTGCAGGCGAAGCAACGCCGCCCGCAGGTCGGAAGGACTTGCTCCACTTGTCTGGGCTGAGGCTGAATTCACAGATCGAGGACGTGGTGAAGTTGGTGATGTCACCAGCTGACAACTTTGCGGTGAGTTCGACGATCCACCCCGCGTTCAAACCAGCTGAGCGTGTGCTGGACTAGATACTCTCTGCCGTGGTCTCCTTCTGCACCAAGGGAGATGAGTTTCACTTCCGCAAGCATCGCGAGACTCTCTCAGCCACAGTTCGCCTCCTTGATGATGTTGACATGTAAGATGTCCCTCGAGTCTGCGCTCCCTGCAGGATTCTTACCTCCACTCTCCTCTCTTTGCGCAGGGTGCATGTGTTCTCCAAAGTTGCTCTCAGGAACGAGTATCGAACACTGGAGTCCCGATCGAAACGAGACGACAGCGCTCACCTGGACTGTCTGCATCCCGAATCCCTCACTTGCAGGTCTAATCCTCCTCCACCTCCTCGTCCACTGAAACTGCTCGCTAGATTCCTTTCTTCCTGCCTGTCGGTTGGTCTGTCCGTCAAGCCTTGCGGATGCCTCATAGAGGTATACCGCCCCAAGCTGTGACGCCAGCTGACCTGTGGGTGCGGCAGGGGGTCACCCAAGTGTGTGAACGCAACAAGCGCTTGTTTGCCTCTCGTGCGGATCTGCATGAAAACTCTGTGATGGCATTTTCTCAGCTCTTGTTCTCGGTGACTTCGAGCTCGAGCGAGTACCCAGGCATCCTCAAGCTGTCCATCAGCTTCATGCTGGAGCTGCTGAAGAGAGCTGGGGTCAAGCTGGAGATGCGCCTGAAGGCCGCGGTGAAGCTCTTCATCCTTTCCTTGGTGGTGCCGGCCATGCTCTATCCGACAGAGTTCGGCGTTGAGGCGAATTCCCTGGATGAGGAGGACGGCAAGCTTCTGCGCGAGATGGCAAATGGCATCATCAGCTACTACACGGAGTCTCTCCCTCCGAGCTTCGGCGCTGCTTCAGCCTTCAAGGAGGTTGTTGAGGGGATGCAACAGCACCTGAACCAGTTCGTTGACAGGCTGATCAACAGCTGGGAAGATCTCGCAAACTCATCGATCGACGAAGACGAGGAGCAGCTTGCTGAGGATGATGTTGACTGCCTCGTGGACTTCCTCAAGAGCCATGGGGGGGTCGTGTCTGCAAGCCTCAAGGCGTCAGGGCATTCTTCCTCGCTCAAGGCCCTGGAGGACTTCTTGAAGAGGGCTCTAGAGTCCTCCTCCAAGGACAGGAAGTCCAAGAAGAAATCGCTCCTCCAGTCAGGTCGAGTCTGCACCATCCCGGGCCTGGCCAAGATCAAGAGCAAGGGCAGAATCCTCGGGTTCAAGTACAGAGAGGCTCGATCGGACGAGGAGGACGACGAGAGCAGCGAGAGCTCGAGCGACATGGTGACGCAGAGCGTGTTCGACCACCGCAGGATAAGCGCTGAGCGGGAGGAGAAGAGGAAGGAGGAGGAGTTCGGGGTCGGGCTGCAGTTCGAGTCGGACGAGCAGGGCTACTTCGTGGTGTCGGAGCTCAGCAGTGCAGGGCCTGCACAGCGTTGCGGCATGATCGACGTGGGCGACATCCTGGTGGACATTGACGGGCAGAACGTCTACCTGCACAAGAGCCCGTCCCTGCTCTTGCGCAAACTGCTGAGCGGGAAGGAGGGGACATCGGTCCAGCTGGGATTGCAGAAGCCGGGTTCAGGGCAGACCAGGCAGGTGATGCTGAGGAGGAGCGAGCAGTACGACAACGAGAGCGCGACGCAGCGAGCAAGGATGATGACGTCATCGGGGCAGATGAGACCGAGGGTGCGAGTCAGGAAAGCGACTCTGTCCAAGGGCAAGTCGGAGCGGCTGAGGGTGACGGAGGAGCACGAAGGGAGGGGCCTGCAGGATGGACTTCCCTCCCTCACCTCCACCTCCTCCGTCGGGTCGGAGCGACTGGAGCTGTCCGGGGTCGGGATAACTCTGCAGATGGGCGGGGAGTTCCCGTATGTGTCGGATATCTCAGAGAAAGGCCCGGCCGAGAGGAACGGCTGCCTAACGCACGGGGACGAGATTGTCTCCATCAACGACTGCTCCTGCCGGGGGAGAACCTTCCATGAATGTTCCAAGATGCTCAATGGCCCCATGGGAAGCTTCGTGAAGCTCGAGCTCCGCTCCTCGTCGGCCTTCGACGCCTCGGAGCAGCAGACGCAGGCAGTCATGCTGAGGAGGACGTGGGTGCCTGACCTAGTGTGGAACGAGATGGGAGACCAGGCAGCTCCTCTTCTCCCACAAGAGCAGCAGAAGCCTCCTCCTGCGGGCAGCAACGAGATGTTTGGTGTCGGCATCACTTTCGTGCAGACCGCAGCAGGTTTCTTCTCTGTGAAAAGGATCGCGAGGATGGGGCCTGCTGACATTGCCGGGACGGTCAGGACAGGAGATGTGATCCAGACGGTCGACGGGTTCAGCGTGCGAGGGAAGTCCATGAAGAAATTCGCCGGCATGATCCTCGGCCCCCTCGGCACCATCGTGCAGCTGGGGGTCCTTCGAGGAGAAGAGGAGGAGTTTCACCTGATCCAGCTCGAGAGAGGTCCATCGTCAGTTGAGACTGAAGAGGTGAGAAATCGTCGTCCTCTCACCCTTTCTCGCTCCTCCCTGCTGCCGCATTGTCTGCGATGCCCCTCACTTTCTCTCTGCCACTTTCGGTCTCTAATGCTCCTCCTTCCCCCCCCCCCTCTCCCCCCCTTTTCTCTTCTCATTGACTTAACTGAACACCTTTTCCAGCCCTACAAGCCACAGACCGCTGAGCTCGAGAGCTCCCCCGCCGTCTCTCTTCGCGAGCAGAAGCCGAGCAACGGGCAGGATGATGCCTCAAGCTGCGGCATCGGCATCAAGTGCGAGAGAAACGAGGCAGGGGAGTACGAGATCGCTCAGGTGCAGGAAGCAGGCCCGATGGCGAGTTGCCAGGGTGTGGGATCAGGAGACATCATAGTGTCTGTGGAGGGCAAGCAGCTGAAGGGGATGGAGAAGAAGGAGGTGCGGGGCCTGCTGTTCGGTCCCCAGGGCTCGGCCGTGAACCTGGAGGTGCTGAGAGTGTCAGACCAAACCCTGATGAGGCTGCGCCTGTCCCGCTTCCTCCCCTCCCCCTCTGACGAGCACGTAGCCCATGGCTGTGTTGGGGTCGTGCTGGGGTCTCCCACGCAGCTGGGGTATCCCGTGCTGAGCTTGTCGGACCCGAGCCTGCGGGACGGCAGGCTACTGCACAAGGACGAGACGCTTATGAAGATCGACGGAGTTCCTATCTCAGCTGCAAGCGAGCTGCGGGTCCTGCAGTTGCTTGAGGGGCCTCGTCGGTCCATTGCCTGCCTTGAGATCCTTGACAGGGATGGGCAGGAGCGCTCTGTCTTCGTCCCCCGGGGGCAGGAGAGAGCGGTGCTGCCTGCTGCTGGCGAGTGTCGGGGCGAGGTGAGCTTCGACGCGTCCGAGTACGGGCAGGGCTCGAGGAGCTCGGTTAGCTCGAGGAAGAGGAGCAAGGTCGGGCTGGGGATGACCTTCAAGATGTCGTCGGCGTCAGGGCATGTGACTATCAACCGGATCAAGAGCCCCGACGTGCCTGCGCACGGGATGAGGGAAGGTGACATCATCATCTCTATTGACGGCTCCGTCGTGCAGAACATGACGGCCAAGGAGCTGACGGAGCTGGTGCTGGGCCCAGCGGGGAGTGAGGCTGAGGTGTGCTTCCAGCACCGGGGAGAGACAAGGATCCATAGGACGGTGATGACCCGCAGCTCGCACGAGGGGAAGGCGGTGACAGGGGAGGCGAGCTGGACGAGCGAGCCGAGCATGAAGGGAGAGAGCATGCAAGGACTCGGGCTGACCTTCTGCAAGCCCGACGGAGAAAGGGGCATTGTGATCAAAAGGATCAAGGAGGGAGGAGCGGCAGAGGAGAGCGGAGGCCTCGAGCCAGGGGATCGCGTGATGAGCATCGACCAGCAGCCGCTCATCTCAGTGAGCAGCGCGCTGCTGACGAAGCTCGTGATGGGGAAGGAAGGAAGCGTAGCAAGCCTGGTCGTGCGCAAACTCGACGGGTCAGAGAGAACAATCACCATCCAGCGAAGATCGTCGCTGGCACCCAGCCAGCAGCAGCAGCAGCAGCAGCAGCAGCAGCAGCAGCAGCAGCAGCAGCAGCAGCAGCAGCAGCAGCAGCAGCAGCAGCAGCAGCAGCAGCAGCAGCAGCAGCAGCAGCAGCAGCAGCAGCAGCAGCAGCAGCAGCAGCAGCAGCAGCAGCAGCAGCAGCAGCAGCAGCAGCAGCAGCAGCAGCAGCAGCAGCAGCAGCAGCAGCAGCAGCAGCAGCAGCAGCAGCAGCAGCAGCAGCCAGCGTCTGAGGGAGGGAGAGGAGGGTCCTTGTCAGGAGGCAAGGAGCCTCGACCTCGGCTGGTCAGGGAGAACTCTTTCGACTCGGTCAACAGTGAATTGGGGGAGGCATCGCATGCGAGGGTCGGGATCGGGCTGACGTTCTTCCCTCCCGACGATGAAGAAGGGATTGTAGTGAAGCGTGTCAAGCCGGACTCGCCCGCAGAGAAGGAGGGGAGCATACGGGCCGGTGACAGGATCATCTCGATCGACGGGAAAAGGATCCGAGCGCGCGTCTCTAGCGAGACTTTGACATCCCTGGTGACTATTTCTCTTTCTTCCTTCCTCAAGGCCTCCCTCTTTACCTCCTCTTCTTTCTCCGCCCGCCCCCAACACCACCACCTCCGGTCTCCTCTCAGCCTCTCCTTGCTCCTCCTCTTGCTAATGCTAGTTGGCAGGTGATGGGTCCAGCTGGGACGGCAGCTGACATCAAGCTGGTCAGGGTCGACGGTCAGCAGGTCTCAGTGCGTCTCAACCGACGAGAACCCCAGCTGGGGTCGAGCTTGGGTCGCGAGGCGAGCCTGGAGTCCGTAGGGATGCTCGCAGCTGGGCGGTGCGGATTGGGGATCACGTTCTACGACCCGAGGAGTCAGGGGGGGAGGCTGATGGTGAAGAGAGTCAAGGTGGGGGGAGCAGCGGAGAGAAGCGGAGGGCTGCAGGCAGGGGATGAGATCCTAGAGATCGATGGAGTGAAGATGAGCGGGGTTGGGACGAGGCAGCTGTCGTCGATGATCATGGGAGAGGAAGGGTCCAAGTGCAGGTTGACGGTCAGGCACGGCGACTCGACGCTTTCCTCCGTCTTGCTGACGCGGACAAGCGCCGAGAGGGGCGAGCAGAGCAGAGCCTCCGAGGGAGGAGATCGCCAACTTCAGAAGGAGGAGAAGCAGGAGGCAGGGGGTGCGAAGGCCCCGAGGAAGCTCGGGCTCGGGATTTTATTCGCGGAGAGAGATGAGGGAGGAGGGCGAGTGATTCTGAAGATGAAGGCAGGGAGCGGAGCAGCTGAGACAGGAAAGCTCGAGCCTGGTGACCGTCTCGTTTCCATCGACAGCGTCGAGCTGGATGGTCTGGATGACTCGGCTCTGCAGCAGCTGATCGCCAGCTCGAGCGAGTCCCCTGCTGTCTGTGTGGTGAAGAAGGTCGATGAGAGCATGCGGCTTGTCATGGTACCCCGGAAGCTATACGAGGAGGAGGAGGAGGAGGAGGAGGAGGAGGTAGGCTCGAGACAAGTCGGGCTCGTGGGCCTTGGGATGGTGTTCCTCAAGCCGGACGGGAAGGGGGGCCGAGTGATCAAGCGCTTAAAGCCAGGCAGCGCGTCTGAGCTGTCGGGGAGGATACGCCCTGGAGATCGCTGCCTGAGCATCGATGGCAGCGAGTTGGGGAACATGTCCGACGCGCAGCTGTCGCGGCTCAACAGGGGGGCGGAGGGATCGGAGGTGGAGGTGAAGATCAAGTCGAAGGAGGGCAGCACGTTCAGCCTCCTCCTTGCTCGCTCCTCCTTCGGCTCGATGGACGAGGACCAGGAGCCCTGCGTGAGCGAAGCGAGCTTCGGGTCCTCCGTGTGGGGCAGTAGGATTGGAGGACGACGGCAGTGTGGCTTCGGGTTGACTTTCTTCTCGTGGGACGGGACCTCGGAAGGTTTCCGGGTGAAGCGAGTGAAGGACGGAGGAGCGGCGCAGCTCTCAGGGGAGGTGGAAGAGGGAGACCTTGTGATCTCCATCGATGGGAAGAAACTGAGCGGCTGCTCGAACAAGGAGGTTCAGGGGCTGATCCTTGGAGCAGGTGAGAAGTGGAGGTGGTGGTTGAAGAGGAGGAGCAGGAGGTAGGGGTAGGGGTAGGGGCTGGGGCAGGAGGGAGTATGAGGAGGAGGTGGGGGAGGTAGAGGGGGAGGAAGGAGGAGGAAGAGGAGCAGGAGCAGCTGATACGAGTCACAGAGGGATCTATCTCCTCGCTCGAGGTACTGAAGAAGGACAAGACGATCAAGTCCATTCTGTTGGCTCGAGGAGGAAGATTCTTGGACTCAGCTGGAGGGCAGCGGGAGGAGGAAGAAGAGCAGGAGGAGGAGGAGGAGATTGTGCATGATGGTAACAGGGAGGAAGAAGAGTTCGCGAATCCCGCTGAAGTTCATCAGGGGGAGCAGGAAGTTGATGGGGAGAATGCCGAGCCAGCCCCTGCTCCTCCTCCAGCTGATCTCCGGGAAGTCAGTTTCGACGGGTCTGTGTACGGAGATGATACGGAAGACGAAACAGGGAGGAGGAAGTGCGGGCTCGGATTGACCTTCAGGCAGTCAGAGGAGGCAGGAGGAGTGATGGTCAAGAGGGTCAAGCCGGGGAGCGGAGCTGAGTTGTCAGGTGGGATCGCAGCTGGGGATGTCGTGATGAGCATCGATGGTCAGAGTCTAGTCAACCTCTCCAAGTCGGAGCTGACGGGGCTGACCATGGGGCTGGAGGGTCAAGTGGCGACGCTGCGAGTGAGGAAGGAGACAGGGGAGGAGCGGGAGGTGGAGGTGAGGAGGGTGCGACCTTCGCTGACTGCCTCCTTCTCCGAGCTGGAGGTCCGCGAGTACGACCTGCTGAGCGGGGAGCTGAGCCGAGAGAGCTCGCGAGAGTCGCTGGAGGGAGGAAGGTCGTTGGAGCAAAGGATGCCGATCCCGAGGAGGAAGAGGGTCGGGCTGGGCCTGACCTTCTTCGAGCCGGACAGCAGCGGGGAGTTCGTGGTGAAGCGCGTGAAGGAGCACAGCGCGGCATCTGGGCTCCTGGAGGAGGGGGACCGCATCCTGTCGATCGACGGGTGGGAGCTGGTGGGGATGGTTCAGAGAGAGCTGACCGGCCTCATTCTTGGGCCCGAGGGCTCCGAGGCGTCGCTGACAGTGAAGAGGAGAGGGGAGGAGACGATCTCCAACATCACCCTCATACGCAAGGAGATTGCTGACGTCAGCAATGAGGTCGCTGGTGAGAGCTCTCAAGAGTCTCTAGGAAGCGAGGCGAGCATCTCGTCGTCGACGGCAGGGGGCGAGAGAAGGGGAGGAGGAGGAGCGTGCGGGATCGGTGAGTACGAGTGAGGAGAGGGGAGAGGGAGAGTGAAGGGAACGAGGGGGAGGAGGAGGGGGCGACGGGGAGGAGGAGGAGGAGGAGGAGGAGGAGGAGGCGAGAGGGTCAGGAGGACCTGGAGGGATTTGGGAGAGGGAATGGGGTAGCGCGGGAGAAGGGCAAGCAGGATGGGGAGGAGGAGGAGGAGGAGGAGGAGGAGGAGGTCGTAAAAGCGCCTGGAGGGCGCGGAGGTCGTGCGGGGCAAGACTGACAGGAGGAGCAGGGCTGACGTTCGAGAAGAAGGACGGGAGCGGAGGGCTGCGGGTGAAGCGAGTGAAGGAGGAGGGGGCGGCAGCGAGGGAGGGGAGCATCGAGAAAGGAGACGTGATCGAGGCGATCGACGGGAAGGAGCTCGAGGGGATGACGGAGAAGGAGCTAGCGAGGGTGATGGTGGGAGAGGAGGGGAGCGTGGCTGTGCTGGAGGTGAGGAAGAGGAGCGGGGAGAGGAGGAGGGTAGAGGTGAAGAGGAGCCCGGCACAGCGGGTGGGGGGGGAGGAGTCGACGACGTCACTGGGGAGCGAGGCGAGCATATGAATGAGGGGGAGGAGGAGGTGGTGGAGAGAAGATTTGCAGTAATTGTAAATGAAGGTGTTTGAAATGGTACGGTATTGCTATCTTCGGTGTAACCGGCCTGTGTCAAATTTGTTCCTTGCACTTTCTGCCTTCCTTGCTCATCCCCCCTCTCATCCCCCCCCTCCTCTCAATCACCCACTCTGCTCTTCGCTCTCCTTCCTTCCTCCTCCTCCCCCTCCCTTGCTCCTCCTCCTCTCTCCGTCATCGCTGCTCTTCGGGTGCCAGGGCTGGTCAAATGGTGACTAGGAACGGCCTGATTGACCCCAGGAACTTTCGCATGTGCGACCGAAATTGCAACTTGGCAGCTCGTTGGACGGCAGGACCTGCTGTGGTCACTTGCCGGATCAGCTCCTGCGTCGCCTCCCCTACTCGCGTCCTGTTGGACTCAAGCACCTGCGATGAAGATGAGGAGGAAGATAGACAGAGAAGAGGAAGTGAGGAGGGAGGTTGAGGGAGGAAAGAGACGGATGAAGGGAGAAGGGAGCAGGAGGTAGGAGGAAAGAGGAAGGAAGGGAGGAGGAGAAGGGAAGGAGAAGGGAAGAGGCGGGGAAGAGGAGGGAGAAGGGAGGAGGGAGAAAGGGAGGAGAGAGGAGGGGGAGGGAGGAGAAGGGTCGCACCTGGCTGTTGATGACTTGAGTCATGAGCTCGCCAAACTTCGCCTGCTCACAGCAGAGGAGGGAGAGGAGCGCGTCGCAGGAGGAGTCGAGGACGGTTCGGTTGAACTGCTTGAAGAGCAGCATCTCCAGCAGCGCCTGCAGGAAGAGGCCGAGGGCATCCGGGTGCTTCTCCTTGAGCAGATAGCTTCCTCCCTCCCTCATTGTGCTGATCTGGTAGGTTGCCAGCGCATCGATCGCCTCCGAGCTGGCGCGAGCTGTGTCCGAGTCAGCCTGCTGGAGGCCGTGGTGGAGGCAGGCGACAATGGGGTCGAGCATGTTCCTGTCCATGACAGAGACTTTGTGCGGGTAGGACTCGATGAGCCACCCGAGGAGCGAGAAGAACTCCTTTGAGATGGCGGGATACTGCAAGCTCTCCGGCGTGATCAGCGGCTGGAGGAGGCTGAGGCCGAACAGGACGACGTCTGCCACGTCCATCTCCTCCCCCCTTACCTCGTTGGAGAAGTCCACTACGTCCTTCCTCGCCAAGTGGAGGAGGAGCTGAAGGAGGGACAGCATGTGGTCGCGCAGCCACTCGCAGTCAGCCTCCTGCAGCTCCCCGCTTCCCCTCCTCCCGTGCGCCTCGATCTTGGTGAAGGTCTGGAGGAGGTGGAGGCAGGCCTGGTTGAACATCCGCATCTGCTGTCCGGAGAGGAAGGAGACTTGAACCTCCCCGATGACCACGAAGAGGAGGAGGATCGACTCGGTGACGTGGCTATGCTCCCTAAGCGCGTGCAGCGCGACCGGCAGTCGCTCGACGACCGGGATGACGAGCTCGAAGATCGAGTCGTACGTGTAGAAATCTGCCGACTTGCATGCTCCGTGCAGCATCCTCGCCGCCCGCAGCAGAACCTCCGAGGCATTGCAGCTAGGCACCTTGCTGGACATCTCGTGCTCGAGTAATACGCAAGTCTGCTGGGCGATGGGGCCGATGAGGTCACGGAGGAGGATCGAGCGCTGCTCCTGCACCTCCACCGCCGTCACGCTGCAGCAGAGCGCCTGCATGACAGGAGAGAGCGCCGCTGGGTTCAGCCACTTACTGCCCGGGCTCTTGGCCAGCTGGTTCGGCATCATCTGTGACAGTGCAGACCAGCCGGGGGTGCCCAGGAGCAGCTTGGCGACGGGTTTGCGCATGGCCAAGGCGAGGACGAGCTGGGAGGTGGCGTTGACGACGTCCTCCTCCGAGCCCCAGGACGAGAAGTTGGAGAGCGAGCGGTCGATGAGGAAGGAGAGGACAGAAGTCGCTCCCTCTCCCGGCCCGTAGTGCTGCTGGAGCGACGGGCTGAGCGGGAAGCGGTCGGAGGGAGCAGGGAGCAAATAAGTCTGCGACCATCGGGAGAGGTACCAGGTGCTAGTCTGGACGACCAAGGGGGAGAGGAACTCCTTCCTCTTCCTCTCTCTGCAGAAGTCCAGCAGGTTCGACATGTCCACCACCTTGTTGGTCAGGAGGATCAACGGGTCCTCGGTGCTCATGTTCCTGGCCGCCAGCTCGGACGAGAGTCTTGAGATGACCTCCGGCACCACCGGGACTTCTCCCTCCCCGTCGTCAGCGATCAGATGCCCCGCGATCTGAACCAGCCAGTGGATCTGCTCCAGCGCCACCGACGCCTGCATGGCAGGGAGCTCCCTTCCGTCCGTCACCACCGACCGGATCGCCTCCAGCCGCTGCGCCAGCATCTCCACGAGCTGCTGCATCCCCTCGCCCACCTTGAGCCTCCCGATACATCCGATGGCCGTCAGTCTCTCTTCCAGCACGCTCTTGTCCTCGTGCTCGTCGTCCGCCTGGTCCCACTCCTGCACCTCCTGCGAGGCCTCGTGCATACATTTCTCCACGAAGCAGCTGAAGATCTTGGCAGTGAAGCCGCCGATCGCCTCCATGTGGCACCGATCGTCATCCTGGTGGAGAATGGCAACAGAGAGCCCGCACCAGAGCTCGAGCATGTGGTCCAGAGCCTCCGCTGCCCATCCATCTCCCAACGAGGAACGACGGCTCATTAGCATGCAAGTGAACTCGCCCATAGCGCTCAGATGCTGTTGCGCATGGCTGGAACGGACCAGCGTGCTTGCCTGGAAGTTCCGCACAAGGCGGAGGAGGATAAGGGCAACGTCGACGAACTCGGAGTCGTTGCTGTGAGCCGAGATGAGCGCGAGGATCGAGTTGAGCGAGTGATCCAGGTACATGGTGCGGGAAGCATCGTCCGGGAAGACGTCTCCTCGGATCGCCGCCAGATCCACCAGGCACTGACGCGCCACGTGTGCCATGTTCGAGGACCCACGGCACGTCGCGTAGAGCGAGTAGAAGAGGTCCAAGGTCGACCCCTGCACGAAGACGTCGCGCCAGGCAGCGCCGGGCGTGATGACGTCATTCCGCCCATTGAGGGAGGGGGCGAATGAACCCACCACCCCTCCCTTGGCCTGCGCGTCCGTGAAGTCCCAGTTGAGACTCTGGTTGATCACTTCGACGCAGTGGATGAGCCAGTGGTGGGACCCGCTCGAGCTCGTGAGAGCGTCGATGTCCTTCTGGTGGTGCTTGAGGAAGTCGAGACTGGCTGCGATCATGGACATGGCAAGCGTGAAGAAGGTCTTGAGGTGCCCTTCGGCATGGAACCGCTGCTGGCACTGATGATGAATCTCCCACGTCAGCCCCACCACACTCCTGTTGCTCGAAGAGAACTCATCCAGTAGAGCTCGCATGAGGAAGATGCCGCAGTCTCTGGTACCTTCCTCCCCCACTAGAGTGTGCACGTACGTCATCATCTCGTTGAAGTACTCCGGGGCTTCTTCGAACCATCCTCGCTTCACCTGCGGCGCGCAGTTGAGGAGAGAGCAAGACTGAGGCAAGACTACCATAATCGCCACCGCTTGCAGGAGCTGATGACGAACGAAGTGTTTCATGGACAACTTCTTTTGGATTACATACTGCAGGAACAAGTTACGATCTTTCCAGACCCCAGCAGACAACCGGGGAGATTCAGTGATACCTGCAAGACGTAGGACTTCATCTCTCTCCTATCATCCGCTGTGAGTTTGCTCCAATCACGAAGAACTCCTTCTTTGAGCATGCATGCCGCTTGGAAGCAGGCGCTGTCTCGCTGCGACGATTCCTGCAGAGAAATGATCACCTTCATAGCCAGCGGCAGGAGATCGGCGGACCAGAACTTGACGAGCGAGCTGCAGGGAGTTCTCAGCCTTGCGCACGTTGACCTGGTCAAAGAGTTTCAATGCGGGTGGACGGCGGAGATGAAAGTGCGGGAGGGAGAAGGGGAGGGCTGTTGGGCGTGTGAATTAATGGGAATGGGGCAGAGGGGAAGACGGGAGAGGAGGGAAGTTAGAGGAGGTGCTGCTGTCATGAGATTATGAGCACAAAAGGGTGCAGGGATGCAGGGTCAAAGGCAAGGAGGCAGGCAGTGATGGAGATCGGGAGGGAGGAGGCGGAGATAAGAGAACACGTGTGCGTAGAGGGGGGGGATAGGAGAGAGACAAGATGTCAGCAAGGATGAGTGGACCGACCAGGAAATTCTCTGCCGCGACTCTCCCCGCGCCCACTCCCGCACTGAGCTGCTCGCAGGCGTCTTCGATCTCCCTGATCAACTCGGGAGTCGGATTCATCGTCGAGGTAGGAAAAGGCCCGTTCGGGAGAGGAGGTGGGTCCACGCTTCTCTAACTAGGGGCTGCTTCAGCAAGGTCGGAAGAATCAGCTATTGCCCGCTCGGTGGGTTGTTCCAACAGGAGGAAGGGTATTTCTAAACACAGCAAGGAGCGCTTGTCTCTCCCGAGAGTTTCTTGTCAAGGTTGATCACACCAGCTGCTGTCTGCTGCTCCTCTTCTCCTCCTCTTCTCCTCCTCTTTTCGCCTCCACAGCGCTCACCCCGCCATGCCGCTCGTCACGACCGTTGGAAGCCGTTACATCAATTATGATTTCTAAATTCTTCCCTTTTATTTGAAGTTTACACTACCCAAATTTGAATTTTTGCCGATTTTGTGTTGAGTAATTGTTCATCACATGCGGAAGTGCAGTGGCCGGGGCGGGCCTGGTTTACTTTGATTTAACCAATGAAAATTGAAGGTTCAATTCGATTCGATTGGTGACGGTGCAATGTGCCTGAAAGAGATCGGGTGGGGTACGCCCAAGGGGTGGGGGTAGTATAATGGTAGGTAGGGGTGTCTCAAGGAGACTCAGAATGACAAAATTGTATGGTAGTATGTAGGGGTACCAAGACTACCTGCTACTAATAATATGAACGGTACGTTCAAAATATTAGGGCGGGGTAGTCTTTGTAAGGGGTATGAGCCGGATCGCGAGGCTGATATGCAGGGGAGAGGGAGGGGAAAGAAGGAAAAGACGACAAGAAGTTGGGTGAGAGAGGAGAAGAGAATGAGGAAGTGAACATGAATGATGATGAGAAATACTTGGAGTAAGTGGACGTGAGATGAACTTCTTCGAGGGAAGCATATTTAGCAAGATCCTCTTTCGCTTCCAGGATACGTCAGTCTGGGCTACTCGGATACCCGTGGTTCCCCATACATAATCCCATTGAGTTACTTGTTGGCAACCTACAGGTCTATCATCATGAGAACCCTTCTAAAGATCGTGATCGCCTCATCCTGCCTCACCTGGTCATTGGGCTTCCAGGTTCCTCCAGGCTGCATCTCAGCTTAATGTGACGATTTTTTTTCTGTTTCTTTGCTGCACATCAGATGGGATCAAGCCCGCTCACCCATGCCAAGCTGCGATCCCCTGCTACATGCTCACCCAGACCCGCACTGTCAGTCAGACATGCGGCTGTCGGGCTGCGCATGGTGTACCATCGCTTGGTTGTCACAGCGTTGTTCACGTTGCATGCAACAGGCAGGGCCATGGGGACCCGACAAAGAGAAGCCGAAGGCGTCGAAAGAACTCATGCAGATCCGCTTCAGCCAGGTGAGGAGTTGTGCCGCATCCTCATGCCGGCGGGCAACTGTTGAACGAGCTCCACAGGTTGACGCGTCTCAGCTGAGAGATTTCATCCAGAAGTGGCCGAGAGGAACCTCCAAGGATGGTCAGCAGACTAGTTGCCCTATGCTCTCCTGCCGTCTCAATGGATGCACAGGGTTTGGACTCCCCAAGCTCATGCTCCCTGTGGCGATCGAAACTTCGTATGGCCACTTCAATTGACTGATCAATTTGACTGACTTGTTGCAAGTGACGGGGGTGTCAAGCTGGTATGGAAGGGGAGCGAAGACCCTTGGATTCAGGTGACTGCTGTCTTCTTGTATCTCTCTCCTGCTGAGATGAGATCAGATCGATCTGGAGGGCGACACTGTCCGCGTGTACCGCCAGTCCATGATGTCTGGCAGCTTCACCCAGGTATCTTTAAGAGACAAGCAGAGAAGGAAATGAAGAGGAAGTTCTCACTGAACACACGTGCAGGTGTCTGCGCTGAAGGAGAGGGAGGAGAAGAAGATCTGCGACAAGCTGAAGCAGGTGAGCAGAGGATCCTGGGGCCGCTACACTGGCAGAAGTATTGATCGGTCGAGATGCAGGATCTTGAGAAGAGCAGCTACGGGAAGGGCATGACAGAGAAGGAGATCCCTGTGGTCCAGATCCAAGAGCGTTAGTCAGTGCCTCATGATTTATCAGTGACTTACACTCTTGCCATGTGCAGCCAAGGCTGAGGAGAAGCAGGAGGAAGTAGGAGATGCTGAGGGTGCTGAGAAGGATGCTCCTGCTAGTGGCCAGCAATGAAAGGGCGGAGGATGTGACAGCAGGTTTATCCGTACACGACAAACTTCGATTCTCAGTACCTTGTAATCAAATTGAATCTTAAAGCGATGTCATCTGCAAACTAACTGCTCTGCTTGATCCTTTGAGATCTGACTCAGGCCATTCTCATCGACTATGATCGCTCCGCCTCCCTCGCTGTAAACACCATCAATACTACTGTTGTTGACCTTCACCTGATGCAACAAACCTGACAAAACAAAGCCTGAAACACAAAGTCACAAGAAATTTGCATGGAGTGATAGTGTCGCATCGCGTATCATGATATCACATCATATCATATCATATCACATCATATCATATCATATCACATCATATCATATCACTTCATATCAAATCACTTCATATCACTTCATATCACTTCATATCATATCATATCATATCATATCATATCATATCATATCATTCTGCATCGCCTCGCATCGCACCACGACTGGTCACATCATTTACCCTGTGCACATCAGAACCAGCACTTCCATCCTCTCCCGCGCGTGTGTGATCATGATGTGCCCGAACTCGCTCCTCCGGATGTGCCAGTTGCAGAGGTGAATTCCTTGTTTGTCGGAGACTATGTCTTTGACTTCCTGCTCAGAGGTGACCACGAGCTGTTGATCTCACGTCCTATGTTAAGAGTGGTGTGATCTATGTCACCTGGTCGCGATGGATGCATGCAATCATGTACTGCCAATTTCCATCAGGGAAAGAATTCCAAGGCTGGCACAAACCTCTGCATCAAAGACTTGAACTCTGGGATGATCTATCTTTCCCTCGGGGTATATCGTATACTGTCTTGTTCTCAACAAGAGTTAACAAACACACGAACACAACTCTCACCACTCTTTGATTGCCGTCTCTGCAATGAAACCATCCGCTTCCTTTTCGAACAAGCTCCACGGCAATGTTCAGGACAGTATGTACAAACACTACATGAGTATCATCGTATTCAAACTTCCAGTACTTGGTAGAATCGGTGATCAGCGAATCATTCTGAGACAGATTGTCGGTGAGGAGCGAGGATAATAACTCCTTCCCTACCTCGCATGGCGACAGTTCCTTGTTATTGAACGCATCATCCTGGATCCAGAGTTAGAGCCCGAGCTTCATCGAACCAGTCATCTAACAGAAGTAGAAGCAGGAAGAGGAGGAGAAGGCTCGGTAGGAGACATGCGCTTCCTCGCCTTCCTGTCCTCCAGGCAGCCGAAAAGGAACGCCATCGCCACGCCCGGACTCCCGGATGATCGGACTGTATAAGAGGCCCGCCTCGGACGGTAAACTTTGGCTTGTTACTAGACGGTTCCGAGTCACCGTGGCAGTGTCACGTGTGTCAGTGTGTGAACTTAGCGCGGCACGCGGCGCGGCACTGGGCCGGTGACCCGTGACCGTCTTCCGCTCGTAGCCAGCAAAGAAAGCCTTGAAGATCTTGCCAAGTCAAGACACTGAGGGATGGACGATACGTGCCGAGCTGCTCCGACGGTTTCTCAGTGGGCCAGTGGGTTGAGCCGTGACCAAAGAGCTGCGCGAACCTTAGTAGCAAGACGCCGCTATGGCAAGTTGAAGGGCCTCCGACTCCTAAGTTCGTCCGATCACACGTACTCAGTCAGGCTACCGATGATTGCCGCCTCGACTGAAAACCTTGAACACCTAACTTCCGAGTTCCGTTTGTTAGACTTGTACTAAGAGAATTGAGGAGCATACCGATCCATCCTCCCCCCCGAGTTTCACACGCCGGTTATGTAGGAGTCCATGTGATCCGTCCCGAGTTTCTGCCGCCGCGCGGCGCCGCGCGGCCCGGCGCGGCCGGGCGGCCAACCCGCCGCCGGGTCCGAATAAGCTTCGGCGAGTTTACTCAAAGTTAAGTTAAAAATCAGTACGAGGACGATAAGCAGTCCGCCGGGCCGAAGCTGCACCGGTTAACCTCGAGATAGCCCATAATAAAATCAGTTTTATCACAGCGACCAAGTTATTTTCATGGCGGGTCACGAGACGGTTGGGGACGGGGAGAGGGAGAAGGAAGCGACAACTCGATGGTCTCGTGACTTCCACACACATCACCTCCTTGTCTACTGCAAGACTTCAAGGTCCATCTACTTGAACTCGTCATTTGTATATACCATGGCTGGAATCGGATCGTTCTTCAGCCAACTCTGCGCTCAAGATCGTCAATCGAAGGTCGTCATGAACCTGTTGTACGTGTGTGGAACAGCCGTGTGTCTGGTCTCAGCCGGAGTGCATCAATTAATATCCAAGTATCACTGGCTCCCTTCTTACCTGAACCACGATCTTCTTATTCTGATACCAACCTCCATACTGTTCCACTTCGAGGTTTGGAGGCGAGTGATAGCTGATATCTGTCGGGCCTCAAGCATAGGCTACGTGTCACCCTACGTGAACGTGACCATCGACAGGACAAACAGCTTCCCTTGGACATGGAAGTGCCATGATCTGAACCCCTGGTTGACTATGCTCAATTTTTCCACAGAGCATGGCGGTGAAGACGCAGGATGCACAGCGAGAGTTTTCTCTCCGGGTGCGCTAATAACTTACACTCTAATCGGCTGCTTCATCCCCTTTTCAACAGGAGCAAAGGGGAGCACTACCCTTATCCTATGCCTCACGCAGATCGTGAGCATCGCCGTGACTGGAGTGGCCACTGGGCTAGAGGCGAGCGCATGGATGTCAACAGCGCTTTTTCATGGAGAGATGTTGCTTGCCAACGTCTTCATCTGCGGGAGAAGATACGCATCTGCGAAGCGGGAGTACGAGCAAGAGCGAAGGCTTCGCGCGGCAGCTGACAAGCTGGGGGACTTCCTTGGAACCCTCATACCTAAACCTCTTCATCATCGCCTCAAGTCACAAGCCAAGCAATGGATTGCAGGCAACATGGAGCACTGCTCCGTCATGTTTGTAAGCTTGTCACCCTCAGCGACTGAGCTCTTCTCTCCCTCGACCCTCGAAACTTTCCAGCTCATCGACAACGTCTTCACCCGCCTTGACACGATCGTGGACGAGTTCGGTTACTTCAAGTACCACCACGTGCAGGATACGTACGTGATCTGCTGTCCGAGGACGTCTCGCCCCTTCCATGCGCCTGATTGTCCCGCTCGATACAAGCAGACCACTTCGAGAGCGATGGTGGCGCTTGCGAGCAGAATCATCGAGGAAGTGCAGGAGTTCCGGGCGCTCAGCGGGGAGCCGCTATGGGTCAAAGTAGGGATCGCGTGCGGGCCGCTGGCAGGAGCGATCGTGGGAGCGCATCGGAGGTTCTACTGCTTGTTCGGGGATACGATCAACACCAGCGCGCGTATGTGCCACTACTCGGAGAAGGACAAGATTCTGTGCACGGAGGAGTTCCTAAAGCAGCTGGGGTTGGAGAAGGAGAACGCGGGCATGAAAGCTGTAAGCAGGCCCGAAATGCACATCAAGGGGAAGGGAGCGATGACAACCTACTTCATAGAGCTAGAGGACAGCAGCAGCAGCAGCAGCAGCAGCAGCATTCGGAGAGGAATCTTCCCCTCCACAGGGATGAGGAAAGCGTCTGTGCAAGACATGCAAGTTGAGTCGCCGCAAGGGAGTCAGGTGATCAAGATAGACGACCCGATCTCCACCTGGCTTGAGATCGACGAGATTGTGTCCACAGAGAAGCAGCAGGAAAGTATCTGCAAGGTCGACTTCAAGTTCCTGGACCCATCGTTGGAGGAGAGTTTTCTGATAAGTCATTACTCAGATCACGTGCGACAGGCTTTGGTGGGGAGCATCTGCTACACAGTTAGCATCTCTATCATATTGTTTCGCATCTCACGGCTCTCTTTCTTCCATGAGAAGGAAGCCAGCAGCCTGCGGCAGCATGTTGTCCCTTCCATTTTGCTGGGTTGTGCCATATTCCTGCTTCTCTCCTCCTACCTTGTTTACCTCGTCGTCGCCGGGAGGCTGCGGCACACTGACCACCGGGCCCATCAATCGTTGGCTGTCAAGCGCTTCAGGACATGGCAGGCCTTGTACGTCTGCGGTCACCTCGTCCAGTTTGCCATCATGTTCTACAGCGTGTGGTGGACGCGAGCGACGGGCTGGCTGCTTGTGTTGGGGCCCATTATCTGTTGGATCAACCTGCAGCAGACTAACGTCCCTGCGCGATGGTACTGGTGGGTCATGATAGTGACTTATCCTATGGTCATCGTGCAGATAAATCTGCTGCTGCCCCGAGTCTTCATAGGGGAGTACTTCATCCTCGCCTTTGGGGCATATGCCAGCTACCGGGTCCTCATCGACTACCGCAAGTCCGAGCGCTCCGTGTGGATGTCTCAGCACAGGAACGAGATGGAGCATGAAGCAATTCTCCATGTCCTCAACGACCTGTTCCCCAGGGACGTAGTGGAGGAGGCGCTCAGCCAAGGGCAGGTCGCCTCATCCTACAGGAAGGCTGCCGTCCTCCGACTGGACCTGTGCAACTACATGGAGCTGACGGGGAGGCTGCAGCCGATGGAGGTGGCGAAGCTGATCCATGATGTGTACAGAAGGTTCGACCAGTGCCTGGCTGACAGCAGGATCTTCAAGCTCGACACCATCGGCGACGAGTACATCTGTGCTGGGTGGCTGCAAGGCGGAGAGGACAAGAAATTGTGTAGGACGATGCACGGCATAGCAGAGTCGATGCTGGCGATCATTGATAGGACCAGGAGCAAGGACGGGAAGCAGATCGCATGTCGCATCGGGATCGCAGCAGGAATTTGTGTGGCGGGGACGATGGGGAAGCTGCAGCCGAGGTTCCATGCGCTAGGAGACGCGATGAATGAGGCACTCGAGATGCAGAAGAAGGCGAAGCCTGGAACCATATGCTGCTCGAAGGAGTTCGAGAATCTTCTAAAGGGTACGGAAACTCACAACGGCAAAGAGGAGGAGGAGAGGAGGGAGGAAGAGAGGCAGGAGGGGCCAACTGGCCTTACATGAGGGCAGAACGAGGATACGCGTGACTCGGTGACATCTTCTGAAGCCAATCAAAGGGTTCAAATTGATAATATGAGGTGCTATGAACAATAAAAACTTGATTAGCTATTTGGTTGCTGCCTACTAGCTGATAGGCCTGGTGCTCCTTGAGTGTCCATGGCAGTTGGTACTGCAGCATGTCACGAGTCGTGAACAGGAGGAGGCGAAGCAGGAGCGAGCGAGCGAGCGAGCGAGTGATGTGTAACACGATCTTGATCTCTTGATCACCTGAGTTTAAGTTGAATTGGGGGCACAACAAGCGGTGATTGTTTTGGTTTTCCTGGTTGTGCGTCATTTGACTTTTTTTTGAACACAACAGCAGAGAGAGGTCATAGATAAAGAGAGGCATGTTGATGCGATCGAGAAGCAAACCTCTGCCAGAGAGAATGGTGAGGAGGAGGAGGAGGAGGAGGAGGAGGAGGAGGAGGAGGAGGAGTCTCATGCTTCCTTGCACTTCAGGTGATTTCCCCTGACCAATCACCAAGGCATGCAGAGGCGGTTGACCCCAATGTGATCAGTGAAATCTTTGATCGATATGCCGATCCTGAAGGTGAAGCGATGACATTCTTGCTACCTTCAGTCGTCTTCTGTAATTCAGTGACTGCATTGTAGAATGCTTCAAATGTGTAGATCAGTACCATGTTTGAAGTTCCTGTCGTCTGTTTAGTTTCCTAACGTTATTTATGTACCCAGAGCGAAGCGTTGATGGGATTGAAAACTTCATCGACCATGTGAAGACCAACATGTCCATTCGCGCTCAGCAGCGAAAGCTTTACAGCAAGACCAACATCAACATCACCGACAACATCGAGAGTGACAACAGCGAGCGAACCCCGTCACTGCCATCAGAAAAGGATGAGGTTGAGCTTGAGGCCTCAGATGCTCTGCCATCTCGTGCTCCATCGCAGGCGGAGAGGTTGGCCCGGGGGGCATACGAGAGCCCGTCGCTCGATGAGGGCCAGGTCGACCTGTCCCTGGTGACTAGCAACTCCGTCCTCGAAGATGCTGGCCAGAGGCCTGTGGCGATTCAGTACATGAAGGTCTGTCAAGAACGGAAGATCCCAACCCTGCGGTCCATCCTCCGAGACCCTTCCTCGGGCCACGTCGACGGTTCTCACTCGAGGATCGACTGTGCTGCCATAGCTGGAGTAGCGGTGATTGTGCCTCAGCTGGCCGGGCTCAAGTCCATGGTGCTCAAGGACAACCGGATCTGCGACAGGGGCTGCAGAGATCTGGTGGACGCGCTGCTATCAACCTCAGCAGGGATCCAGCTGCTGAACTTGGATCAGAACAGGATAGGAAGGGGAGGAGCAGAGGCGCTCGAAATGCTGATGGCGGCGGGAAAAGTAGAGGACTTGTCGGTCGCTAAGAACAAGATGGGAGATGAAGCGACGGCGCGGATGCTGAAGGGGCTTCTCAGCAGTGAGTGCAAAGTGGAACGACTGAACATCTCAAGCAACGAGGTCGGTCGGAGCTCTTGTAAAGTTTTGACTAGTTTCTTTGATGACGCCAAGTTGAGCAGCAAGATTGTCTCGCTCGGTTTGACGCTTTTCTTTCGGTCACTTGTTTATGGCTGAAGGTTCGTGCAGACATCAGCTGGAACTCGATACGAGGGGCGTGGGCGGGAGAATTCGTTCGCAGCTTGTCAAACAACACAACGTTGAAGCAGCTGAACGCTTCCTGGAATGGACTCGGAGGGTCAGAGGCACTTGCAAAAGGTGACTGCGAGTCGAGAAGAGAGGAGTCAACCTGAAGGGGACGTTTCTTGCAGCAATCGATACACCGAGGAGCGATGCGTCGCAGGACAAGAACGTCTTTCAAGTTCACCCTCAGGGCAACGTGGCACCAGCTACCATCTTGTACCTGAGGTCTCGCCCTCTCTTGCGAGGCCTTGACTTGACGCGTGTCGAACAGTCACTGGCTGAAGCGAACGAAAGCTCTTGACGAGCTTGACCTCAGCCATAACAGAATCTCGTCCGAAGGGGGCGTAATGCTTGCAGAGGTGAGAAAATGAACGAATCGCCCTCCCCTTGCTGACCTGCACGTCAACCGTCCGTCCTTGCTCCGCCTGCTCCAGGGCCTCGAGCTCTGCTCCTGCGTCAAGATCCTCTCGTGACCCTTCCCCTCCCTCAAGCACCCTCAACTTGACAGCTGCTGCAGCTTGAACGGCAACCCGATCGCCCAGTCGGGGTCGCGGTCCATCTGGTCAGCCACGGCCTCGAGGTCAGGACCGCGTTTGACAAGTGCCTGTTATACCGTTTGACACCCTTGGGATCAGCGGAGAAAGGTTCGGACTGAAGCGTCAAATCTTCCTTAACGACTGTGGGATCACACGAGTAGACGCCCGTAAGGACCCAGCTGGACTCTCCTCCACTCCTCTGACCGAGCTGGGAAGATGCGTTCGACCCGTCTGAGCCTGCTGGCAAGTACTCGTTGGATCTCGAGCTCAGGTTAGTCTTTCAAGAGGTGCTCAGCTCTCACCCAGCTGCTGCAGTTACGCCCGCACGGTGTTGCGAGGACTTCTGAGACTCTCAATACAAGGAGATGGTAAGGAGGAGGAGGGGGAGGAGGAGCAGCAGCAGCAGCAGCAAAAAGGAAGAGCTTTTACTTTTGACACCTTCTGGGCAGGTCAGATCGAAGACTGCAAGCTTGACGGCAAACCTTTCTCAGTCAAATTTGCGACTGAGATGGCTGGTCTCCTCCTCATCCTCCTCCTGCTCCTCGTCCTTGTCCTCGCCCCCCCAACCTACCCCTGCTCCTGCTCCTGCTCCTGCTCCTGCTCCTGCCCCTGCTCCTCCTCGATTGTCATCACCAGTGGCCGCAGAGGATGACTGGAACATCCCGACTGCTGGGCTTCTGTTTCTCACCTTCCACAACCTCAAGGTCCTTCCCCCTTGTCAGCTGGACTGCGTGCTGGGCTCTCTGACGTTTGTGTAAAGTCTGTCAAGTCTCTGCGGCCCAATCCTCCCAGCCTGCTCTCAGATCATTTCAAGGTGGGAAGGAAGAAAGCGCAGAAGGAGGAGAAGGAGAAGGAGGAGGAAGGAAGGGGGGGAGGGGGGGAGGGGACTGCAGGAGAAGGAGCAAGAGGAGGAGGAGGACGAGAGGATATCGTTGGGTTCTTCTTTGACGATCATCGGGTGATTTCCGTAGGAATCTGTGTTGCAAGTTTTGTCATCCGAGTCAAGTCTCGAGACACAACAACTTTTCCTCAAGGTTGGAGGAGGGAAAGAGGAGGGGAGGAAACAACCGGTCAAGGGGGATGGGAGAGAGGAGGAA